AATCATAATAGAGTGAGCTCACCTATACCCAAATTCAACCTGTAAAAAGTGAAAAACTTCAAATAATAATCCATTTGTTCTGCGATATCAATATACAATTTGAAAGGAGATAAAAAAAAAAAAAGATACAAAATGAAGACTTTAAAATACAAAAGAACCGGAAAACAACTTATAATAAAACAAAAAAATTCGAAAATTTTCTAACAATCTTGGCCACAGTTACGATAATAAAAAAATGTTAAAACACTTTGCTTAAAGAACGTCTACTCTACGCCCTGATAATCAAAGGTTAAAAATAAAAAATACTCCGCATCAATACGGAATAAGAATATTATAAGCCGGGAAGAACGGTCTGCACAGGGGCAATAGTGCATGCACTGTTGAATGTACCGCATTTCCAGCCGGTTGCCAGGTCATGAAGGCTGAGGCAAATGAAACTGTAAATTGATATAGCAAGAATTAATTCAGAGATTCTTCTTGTTTTGATTAAATTATCATTGTAAAGATAAATACCAGAATTCTTGATCACAAGGGCATTTCATATGTTTGCATTTGCTGTCATGTTCGATAATTGTGCCACATTTAGGGCATGCGCGGCACGATGGTACACCAGGTACGTTCCCTACTTTCTAAAACCACAATATTAATTAATATCGTTAATTAATATTCATGTTAAATTATACAAACATGAAAAATAAAGCATCAGACAAGATGTCTTACCTTTGTGTTCGCGTTTTTAAGAATGGCTAAACGAGGATCGACACCTCCACAGAGATTGTTTGTACAACGATAGCCATTAAAATTATAAACTTCGTGCAAGCAATACCAACAGAATGCGTATTCTCTAATGCCTGGCTTTCTTGAGCATATCAAACAGACTACAGATGATCGATTCTTATCACTTCTCTCACAGAATGTAGAGCACTAACGATAACGCTTAGAATTAACAAATGCTGAGACAGAAAACTCGAAAATAGAAATTTTCATCACACCTGAGGACATTCTTGAACACCAAGGGCGCGACGAGAATAATTTTCGCTAATCTTGGATTCAAAATATTTGCACTCTTCATCAGTAAGTAAACCTATCTTACGGATATCAACATATTGCCATTCTGTACGGCAACGAACGTCACTTGTCGCTTAATATATAAATATAACAAATAGTAAGAAAACATTTTTAGTTACATTACCAGTTGACTTCAGACACAGACATGTGAGTACTCACGGTTGGTATACGGACAAAAGAATTGAAATTTGCCTTCGCTAACAAGTGATCTGCAAAAGGCAGTAAGGGACTCGGCACCAATAGCATGGCCACACGGCATCTGAAAAAAGGATCCGAAATTAAATATTATTTGCCAAGTTGTTTTAAAGATAACTATTACCTTTGCACGTAAGTTGTCTGGATCATCCTCCCAACTATAGATAAGAAGACCGCTTAGATTGACTGGAGTGAAATAAATAAGCAACTGGAATACTTACGTAATCATGTCGGGCTCATTGGTTAGTTCGACGCCATCATTGGGGTCATGAACTTTCATATTCGCGCCACCCGGAAGTCTGAAATACGAAATTGGTATTTAGTGAATTATCGGCAAAAACAAAGTAATATGAATTAATAGATTCATTGACTGTAAACATGATATAGATATCATCATTATTTACAATTTCCGATGACATTTCCTACCTAAGGACCAAATGAAGAGTAGAAGCCCTTGTAATTCCATAGAATTCCGCTGTTTTATCATCTTCGAGTTGTTTTCCGGCAAAAATAAGACGTTGTTGCTCAGTACTTATACCGGTCTTATCATAAACCTTTTTCTTAATATCTACTACTCTGAAGACATCAAAGGAAAAATGTTAATACCAGTTTTAACTGTTATACAGTAATTCCTAGTTTCACGTATTATCTTTACTTAGTTGTTGGCGTGATTCCATTATACGTGGTCGTTTTTCCTTCGATACCATTAACGAATATTTGAAAAGGATCGGCGCTCATTTTCAATTCAGAATGGAGTGCTGTTTATCAGGACCAGAATTATAAGCAGCTATATACTGGGGGAGTTTAAGTGAAATTTGATGTGGTCGGATATTTCTCAAATTACTCCATTTGGTGTTTGAATATTATTGGATTATTTGTTTTTGTTTTTCATTGTATGTTTGCATGTAATATTTTAATTTTTCTAAATTTCATTCATTACGCGGAGCGTGACGGAGGATATTTAAGGTATGCAACTAAAAGAGCGGATAAATAGAAATTTTGGTCATTAGTATATAGTAACCGTTTTTTACTAAGATAATCTATTTTTGGCCTCTATAATAAGTGATTTATTCTACCTTCTTTAATATATATATATAATCACAAAATTTAAATATATAATAATATAAAAATTCAAAATAATCCTAATTCTAAAGGTATATAGCAGTAGATTAAGTTTATATGTTTTTATTATAATTTTTACAGCAAAAAATTTATTTTATGCATGAAATATTGTCCGATTAAGAGGCAAATAAAAAACATAAATCCCTACGGGAAAGCAATTTTGTGACCTTAACTACTATATATTTAGTAATAAACAAATTCATTTGCCATATCCTGGATTTGACTGTATTATTTTATTTATTACCTACAATAATTGAGATTCCTATGCATATAGATCTTTACAAATCTTTCTTTAAAACACTAAAGCCATACCAGAAACGGAGTTTCACGGAAGTGAAACGAAGGATATGGTTTAGATTTTCCTGATTTTTCATCAAAATTGATAGATATTAGGATTAGGGTTAGATTAAGAACAGAGGTGGTGTTTGTATAATAAAATCGGATTTTCGACACTTCTACTTAGTGAACTAAGGCTTGTTTAGATAACTATTTTTTATATTTTTCGTTTTTTTGTCTTTGTCGTCTTGCTTTGTTTTGTTTGAACTGATTCGGGTTACATATCATGATGCACAAAGCTTTAGCCGATTATCTTTACTGCTTTTACAGGATAGTCCTGCAACTGCGTATCATGTTTCATTTCGATAGTGAAATACTAATAGTGTACGTTATATAACCTATACAAATATAGCAAGCTCTGAATTTCATTTATAAGACTAACGTGATTAAGTTTCCATATTATTTGACGTAAAAACTGTAAACTGTAATGCAATATTGTATCGCCATGTTATGCCATAATATAATGTTGCTGAAATACCGCAACGAAGATCGAGAAGAAACACAATGAAAGACTTGGAAGTAGGGCTGTTAATCAATCCGGTCCGAACCGATGGTCCTTCGGTCTATCCAAGGATCGGGTCAGTCCAGTGCTCTTAGGAATGGATCGAGAGGACTATCGGTCCTAATAGTAAGTAAGGATGAGCATTAGGAAGGCATTAGAAAGGATGCTACATATAGCAAAATATTGCAAGAAATTTTTTTGCTAAGACGCAGAAGGTGGTTTTATAGGCGAAATCTTGAGTTATGGGCGATTTTTTGAAAACACCCGGGAGTTTATTTTGTTTTCATGTTATGTCGATCCTGTGTCGTGATTGGTTTAAAATCACGAGACTGAAAACTTTTATGCGGTAGTAGTTTCAAGTTACACTACAAATCAAGTAAATTGATACATAAAGTACCTAGAAGCATGCATTCGATTCAAATCGGATTTTGGAAAGCGCCTGAGAATATCTTGAATAGTCGATCCATATGATTTAATTCTAATCGGTCCTATTCGGTCCTGGACTGCGATCCAACCCGATCTTTTAAAAGATCGCCACTCCTTGTACTAGATTAACAGCCCTATTTGGAGGTTCGTCGATAAATTAAGATTGGAAAATGATATTATATTAACATTACCATTAAAGCTTTTACGTCTGTCTGCGTTAAAACGAACTGATTTGGTAGCAGAGCTACATGTGACTTGGACATCTGCACGTATATTTTTAAAGATGTGATTGGGCATCTACGTAGCACCATGATATATTTAATTATATGTCGTTAAATGATTTTAGGATATTTGTAAGATTAAGGCTTGAATTACTTTTAAGCTATTATGAAGAGTTGATTACTATCAAAATATTATTGAATTCTATTGTCATGAAAGTTGTGTATCAAATATTAATTATATTAAACAGGAATATTTATTCACCGTACAGCGCTACATATATTACTCCCTTGAAAAGCGTTTTCTTTTAATAATATAAGATACTATTTAATTGCAGATTCCAACATTTTTGAAAAGTATCCCGGCATTAATCAAGTGATCTAAATCAATGTTCGTGTTTTGTGCTCAATTCACATAAATAACACTTTTTCAGTATGCACATCTTGTATAATATTCTCTTCTTTACACAGCACCCTGGGTAATATTTAATTTATCTTGGCTTTTTTGTAAAATACCAAAATTATTGTATGCAGCGCTGTACTGTTAATGCATATATAATATGATTTTACACGGATATTTATGAGAGTATTTAAGAGTAAATTTTACAAATTACAATGATAACAATATAACGCATAATTAGGCCGGACCAACTTAATTCGGTGGTTTACATTACATTCCTCTCTCTCAAAAGAGGGGGAGGGGGGGGGGGGGGATAAAAAATTGAACGACATAGTAAATTTTAATAAAAATTTTTTAAATCGGAAATTTTCGGCCTAACCTTGCACGT